ATATATATCGTTTGGATTAAAGTGAATTTGGATTTAATTTGAACATAAATTCTCAATTTGGATTTTGGATACATAAAAGTTTATGGATTTGGATTTGAACAAAATCTAAATCCATGTTTATTATAACTTTTTTGTCATTTCATATTTGTTTCTATACCTAGTTATTTAAAATTCTAGTCACTACAACTTGTTCTTTTCATGTCTATCACACCCTCTTTTACTCATGCCTTTTCTCTCATATCTATTTTATACTCATTGGATTGAAGAATAGAGACTAAGTTTGTCAATCTTAATCTTTCATTTTTGCTTTGACTTCAACTCAGCCCTCTTCTCCCTTAAAAATTTTTAGACAATCCAAGTAAATTTTTAAATACATGGATTTTAAATGTATGATTAAATCTAAAACCTAAATCCAAATCAATTAATCCAAATGTTTAATTACAGTAATTCTTTTTTGTGCAAAATACTTTTTTCATTGTAGAATATGTATAATTTTTTTTAAAAGTCTATTCATATATTTGTCACTCCTCATTTTTGTGAAGAATAGTTTTTAATTTCAACGTGAGGTTTATTGGTACCTCTCATCTCATTAGTGAAACCTTTGCTCACTATAAAAGTTTAATTATCACAATATCACGTTTATTTAAAATAATGACTCAAAACTAACAAAATTATGAAGTCATAAATGAAAAAAAATAATATTTTAGAAAAAAAAGTAAAGCTTAAAACACATAAAATAATTATGAATGCTTATAATTTAATTGTGAATTATGAAGTCATATGACTAGTTTTAATTATGAAATTATTTTTTCTCTTTTATAAAATGGACTCATCCATCAAACTCAAAATGTAGACATATGGTATTATTGACTTTTCAAAATTAAAGTTATCTCCTAAAAGAACTAATGCAATGAAAAAGAAAGAAAATTACGTTAGTGATGCAAATGAATTTTATCTTAAAGCGGTCCATTATCATGTCAAGAATCATATTTTCCTTAGCACTATATTGTATAAGCCATATAATAAACCCAAAAAATACGTGACATATGAGAAGAATGTTTGTTGCTTTATGATTGGACCACATTTTCATTTTTGTTGCATTATTTCATTTATAGGCAGTCTTGTAGGCCATAAAGAATACCTCCCAAAGAGCGCCAGTGAGAATAAGCAATGTATGCATGAATACATTTTGCCTTCACAAAATTAGAAATCATGAATGAAAACAAGATAAATAATTTAGAGAAGTAAAGCAAAGCTTAAAACACTTAAAATAATTACAAAAGCTTATAAATTTAATTGCGAATAATGAGTCAATATGATTAGTTTTAATTATAAAATTATTTTTGCCTTTTTAATAAAAAGGACTCATCCATTATTCATGTCAAAGTGTAGACATAGGGCATGTTTGCCTTTTCAAAGATTAAAGTTATCTCCTAAAAGAAATTGATGCAGTGAAAGTGAAAGAAAATTATGTTAGTGATGAAAAGAAACTTTATCCCTAAACGCAGTCTATTATCACATCAAGAATCATATCTTCCTTAGCACTATTATATAGGGCATTGAGTAATCCCAAAAAGTATACTACACATGAGAAGAATCTTTATCGCTTTATGATTGGACCACCTTTCAATTTTTATCACATATTTCATTTATGGTCAGTCTTGTAGGCTATAGAGAATACTCCCAAAGGAACGCTAGTGAGAATAAGCGGTGCATGAATATATTTTTCCTTCACAAACGTATATGCAACAAAGTCATGGGTCTTAATTTGTTTGGATATATTATATTATATCTTTAATTTCTATCACCCATTTGTTGGCACATGACATGCTTCACTTATGAGTGTACTTCAAGTCACATCATTTTCATAAGAAATTGCTTATGAATATTTTATTTTGGTAATATTATATCTTAGCTCAAAGAAAAATTGATGTTAAAAGCGTGCGTAAATAATACTTTTTATAAATTACACACACATTAATGAGCCTCGAAACAAGAAAGGCATATACAACAGATTAAAAATACAAGTGAAGTACAGCAGTTCATAATTAACGTGGAAAGATAAAAGCTATGCTGTGCATTATTGTTAAGTCTAAAACCAACAGAGCTGCATAATATTAATATTATGTAAGAGTATTCACTACATAGTCAATTTATGATTCAAATATGTATTACTATAATAAGGAAAAAAAGTTAAGAACATGAACTTTTACGGTATTATTGGGCTTCTTCGAAAATAATAATGAAAGGAATTTCAGAGTTTGTATTCTTGCATCTGTAGAAAAAAAGGTATATCATTTTGTATGAAAGGGCATGAATTGGAACTTTGTTGCTAATGTTAGAACCATGTTAATGGTTAATTTATAAATAAATATGTAATAATCTGTGAAATTTGTGGTGTATTCTATCCTTGGCGAGTCTCCAAAAGCTCATTATATCTCCCTACTTGTTCATATTATGTTCAAATGTTCTGTCTTGTATGATAGTGGACAAGGAAAGAATTGGTTCTTGGAAGGGCATCAAGATTTCTAGAAAGGCAGATCCAGTGTCACATTTGGCATATGCAGATGACACAATACTCTTCTTTCAAGGAAATAAAAGTAATACTTAAGTTGTTAAGGAGGTTCTGAATATTTTCTGTCATCATTCAGGCCAGGAAATAAATTTTTCAAAATCTAAGCTTATATTGAGTCCAAATACTCCCCCTACGCTAAAAGAGGAAATTATAGATGCTCTCTGAGTGAGATGTTCAAATAGTATTGGGAAATACCTTGGAATATTTGTTGATGCTACCTCTGGAAAGAATTCTATATATCATTTTCTTATCAATGCTTTTGACCGAAAACTTAGTCTATGGAAGTCTCAGCTGTTATCCCAAGCTGGTAGAATGACCATAATCAAATCAGTTGTGTCTTCTACATGCATTTATCAATTGTCTTGCTTTCTTCTAACAAAGGAAATTGTGGGTAAGCTTGATTCAAAATGTGATGATTTTTTCTGGGGTGCTGCGGAAAATGATAAAATAAAGATACATTTGAAAGCCTGGAAAAAACTTTGCAAGAACAAAAAGGAGGGAGGCCTGGGATTTAGATCTTTTTATAATTTCAACTTGGCACTTCTTGCTAAACAATCATGGAGGATAATATCAGCAAATGATTCTTCTTTGATTGGTTCAACCCTTAGAAGGAAATATTTAGAAACTCTGATAAAAGGGGAAAAAGAACTTAAACCGACTTTCTCTTGGATGATGAAGGATGTGGTCAAAGCTTCTCCTATCGTGTCTAGCAACCTGAAATGGCAGGTTGGCTCAGGGAAGTCCATTCCCTTTGATCATATTAAGTGGTTCCCGGTTCATGAAGACAAGAGATGCCTGTTAGGTAATTTTTTTTTTAATGACACTGTTGGGCAAGATTCTGAGCTCAACTCTTGTGAATAAATAAACACGTTTGAAATGTTTCTATTCCATGGATTTAATACAACTTGAATATAAATTAAGTAGTATTATATGTCAAAAAATATTTAAAAAAAGAGTATAAATTTGTTATGTTTTTACAAGGGTTAAGTACACTGATTTGAAACTTAAATTAATTTTGTTAAGTTCAGATAGCTCAAATTTTGGTCAGAAATTAAATATTATATCAGGTGCATGTTCTCTAGTATCATGAGGAACAAAGTGCCCACAGAGAAGTCGTACATGCATGCGAACCTTTAATGGGGATTTGTGTGAAGTTCTCTCTTTCATGATGGGGGCACCACCATCTTCAATGTATGTCCATCATTGTCTATATGGTTGATTTTATCAAATCCAATTATCTTTAAATTATTACACATATAAAGTTATAGAGATTTTTAATAAATATTCATATTACAAAATATATTTGTTCTTGTAAGATTTTAGAAAGAATATATGTTTTCCTTATGCTAGTAGATTTTGTCTTCACTATAAGCTGAATCACCTTGGACTCTGTTTGATGTTTCATAGCTAAAATCAAATAACACGAAAGAGGGAAGAGAGAACCCAACGCAACTTTGCAAAGACTGATCCAGTGAGAAGTTCTCTGTTTTGCTTTTGCAAACTCAATATATCCAAGAAATCAGCTTTGGTGCTCGTCACTCCTGATATGGTGTTCATTAATCTGGATTATCCAAATTTAAAGTTTATTTTATATTTATTACAATAAAAATTATAATTTTTTTAATAAATTTGCTTTCACACCAAGATGTTCCAAATTTAATATTAAAATTTTAAAATTTTTATAAATTAACTATCCAAATTTACTCTGAACAGTTCATATTTAAAATTTTAACTTATAATTTTCCTTAAAAATATTTTTTTGGAAACTATTAATTATAAGATTATCTTTTTTTAATAATGTTGTATTTATCAAACTAAAAATTTATAAAAAAGTTTAATATTAAATATGGATTGTCAACAGTACATCTAGATAGTCAATTTTTAAAAAGTATAATATTTTTAATTTTAAATTAGACTATCCAAATTAAATTTACATTACTCAAATTAGTGATAAAGCATATTTATTAAAAATTATACTTTTCTGAAACAAAAAAATTTATAATTTTCATCAACTTTATTTTAATAAATATAAAATAAAAACTTTGAATATGGATTGTCCTGATTTTTTTTTTTTGAATTAAGTAACAACAACAAATAGTTCAAACCAGAAAATAAATACTATTACAGCTAAAAGATGAAGAGGAAATAAAATTCCACCATCCTCTCCAAGATTCAGGTAATAATTCTATCCAAGAGTATTGGAAAAAGTTGAGAAGAGCTTGAATATCACCCCATAAAATCTTTGCTGTAGGATCTTTGGGGGCCTTATTGATAATATTTCTGAATAACTTTCTAGATTCAGGTAATAATTCCATCCAATAAAATCTTTGCTGATAAATTAGGATTATCCTGATTAAATCTAAAAGATATGATGTAGATCTTATCATTCTGATGAGCATCAAAGATGGCCCCTAAGTCACTCATTCCTGTATGTGCAATCTGAGAATAACCATTCTCGCTCATTTTCAAATAAAACTGAACATCACATTTTTGAGTCCCTAACTTTACTCTTTATTCCATTACATGCCCAAAATATTCAATGTGAACTTGGGCCAATATAATCCACCAAGGGTGAACAAATTAAATACCTTGTCATAGAAGAACGCCATGGAAAGTGAGGATTGTTGAGATGTGTGATGCTAATAGCATGTCTCATAAGAAAAATTTGTTTAGGTAATGTTTAGATTAATGGATTTGAATTTGGACTTTTGATTTGAAATCTTGCATTTTAAAAAAATTTAAAATGAAAAAGAGAATGAAATGTTTGGAATGATTGATTTTAAATGATTAGGATTCAGAGAGAATTTAAAATTACAAAAAAATTATAATTTAAAATGGATTTGAATCAAATCCAAATTGATAAATTTATATGTATCCACATGATATATTTGGTCCAAATCAATTCAAATCCAAATTCATAAATTTATATGTATCCACACGACAAATTTGGTCCAAATCAAAATTAAATTCCTATTAATTCAAACACACTATTAGGTGTTTCTATGATTGTAAAATGCGCCTAGAGAAATATAAATTAATGTCACGATTGCTAGAATGATTTTTCAAATTAGTAATCATTTCCAATCAAAGAAACGTTGGGGTTACAAAGTGGTATTTGTCTTTTTGGCAAAATTGTATACGAAAGTTTCAAATAAATGTCTTTTTCTTTTCCAAAGCTTTAAATTGAGCCAAGGATAACCTAAATATGATATTCGAAGGTTTAGTTTATGTATTTATAAGTTACCGTAAAATATGAATGGCAACAAATAGATAGTAATAAAAATATGATATTTTTTAACATCTTACTAAAATATTATAATTTAAGTATTATTATTACTTACAAATCCCTTACACAAAATTTTGAAGTTAACTTTTAAGATGTACAAATTTCTAAATGAGGATTAGTAAATTTTGAAGGAAGACTTATACTTTATCACACTATTTTAATTTACAATTCAATTAGGATGAAAAACATATTTATAAATTTTGAAAAACATATTCACTTATAAATTTCAAAAACACTAGTTGAGCTAATTTTTATAAGAGGATTTATAAATTTTAGAGGAACAGTGTATAAATAATAATGTTTATTTTATTAAATATTAAAATTGTCATGCCCCAAAATTTTGAAGTAACCGTCATAGGAGATATGCAAGAACTCGTACCTTCTAAGTCTTAACTTCAAAAGTTTCTGTTTATAAACCATCGACATGTTTGACATTGGATTAGACTCTCATCAAAAGATATCATACATACAAAAGATTCAATACTTTCATAGGAATTTCAATAAAACCTACCTTGTAAATAGGAAATTTAGAAAATTCTACAACATTATTTTTACTCAAAACAACAATTAGGAGCTTAGCTCCTATTAGCAGGCCAACAACAAAGTAATCAAACAAGGATCCTAATCGTTACAACCCAAAAACAAAGGTGTTATTAGCAAGGATACGAGCACAAATCCACATCCTTAAGCCTTAAAGATATAAAATTTTTCATAATTATCAAGGAAAATATTTACAATATAAAATATAGATTATTATTATTAACAAAATTCAAAATTTTTATAAAAATTGAGGGAGCTTCCCAATAAATGGAGGCTTACAAAAGTTTTACAACAATAGAACCAATACAAATAAATTAAAATTTTTCAAGAATATATAACAAATGAATAAAAAGGAAACACTTTCAGGTGGACGAGCTTGGGTGGAAACTTGTGTTACCACTTAGTTCCAAAGACCGGACGCTTGGCAAATTTTCACCTAACTAGGAAGGACCATTTGGATAAACGAAGTACTTAAAGGAAATGCATATGTCAGCTAGCATTGACAGGACTCTGCACAAACGGGCTATAAATGGAAAATATTTAAAGAAATATTGGCCGTCATTATAGTAAAGTCTAAATAAATAAAGGACCCGAGGCTTAGAATAGCCTTAGGTCATACAAAGGGCACGCAATAATTAAAAAAATAATTTTGCTGTTTATTACATATGTATTATGTTATAAGGGGCATATAGTACAGATTAAAGAATAAATAATGAAGAATGAAGAGTGAAGAGTAAAGTACATATGTCCACTATTTACAAATAGTACACATGGTCTCCCATGTCGCCAAAGTCGAGTCCAGCTCTTCAGATAGAGTCTGATCGTTATTAAGGGCCATCTCAAATTCAAGCATGGAATGAAGGTTTTCATCCGAAATGGTTCATCCAGACCTTTAGTCACGATCTCCAGTTTGGACTCAGCTGGATCGTCTTTAGCTTTAATCCGTGCCAGTTCCTCTTTAGCTGCTACTAGCTAGGGCCTCAAGTTCACCACCTTAGCTTGTAGTGCCTGGAGGTGATCTACATGAGGGGCAATCTCCTGGACCTAATCAGTAGTAGTAGTCATTTAGATCTTGGCAACAAGATACTCATCTTTCACAGACCAATTGTTTTTTAAATAGTTTAAAAGAAGGGGGAGTTCTTTATGGCACCGATTGATGATACTGTAGCACACCAAGACTTGAGCTCGAATGAGTGCAAACTCAGGCATGGAGATTGCCTTCTCCACAGCCTCGAGAGCTCAAATCATCTGCTTGTAATTTTGCTTGGGAATGAGGAGTGGGCCTCAACTGAGTTGAAATTGCATGACCCTCTAAGCATTTAATACCATGTCTATTTTAGGGACGCCGATACTGGCTAGAAGGGCATTAGTAGCCTTCGATGAAGCAAGCTAAAGAAAAGGAAGTAAGGTCAGTAACGAGAGATAAAGAAATGGATTAGAAAGACTAGAAGGAAAGAGTAGAACAAGCTAATACCTAAAGCACTAGGGCCACCATTTATTGAAGCGAAGGCAAGCATCTCTATCTACAAGCTCCACTTTGTACTGCTTCTGGGCAATATGAGGAATGGCTATCTAGTCGATAACCTCCCGATCCAGTAGCTCCACACTGATTTGGGGTGACAGTCCTCGAGGGATGCACTAGCTCAATCCAAACTGGCTTGCCACCAATTGAGGATAATACAACTTCAAGTAGATCTTCAGAGACTTAGAGGTAGAACTAGTGTACGTCAATCACATCTTTCTGGGAGTAGTGGCTGAGAGGAAAACCTCATGCTTTAGTAATTTGGCAGGCTTATTCTTTCGGTTAACTAGATATTTATACCAGGTAGGAAGATAACGGTCCAGAATGTTGAAAGCCTTTAAGGTCCTTCCCAAAGACTAGCTCAACTGACTAAAGAACTTAGGAGAGTCGTGTAGGAGTCATATTTCTTGGGGATTGAGTAAAATCTCACTCCAATAAATATAATTAATCAATA